TGATCCATTAGTTAAAGATCAACTGAATCAAGACTACGCAACAATCTTTTTCCAACAGGGATCTCACTGATTGTTTAAACCGTGAACAATTTATTTATATTTTACAAGGAACCAATAATGTGATCTTTCTGTTTGACACGACGAACCATATGTTGTGGTTAAAGCCACCAAACAAAGATGACTTTAACCGAATAATAAAGCACCAAGTCCAATCAACAACAACAATAACCACAAGCAAGAGCAACCAAACAACGATCAAGCAAGCAATCAAATGACACGAGATTTTTAGCGTGGAAAACCTCAAATTGGGTAAAAACCACGGGACCCGTAGGCCGCTTAAATCATCCACTATTCAATCCGATAATGGGTACAACCGAAATCCTCTCTAGTTCATCAAACTAGAGGCAAACAACAATCTTCAAGATTACAACACAAGATCTTGGCAAACACAAGAAACAATTCAACAAAACACCCCAAAATATTCCCTTCACGTCACTTACGAACAGACAGCCCAAAAGTGCTCAAAATCCGATCTCCACCGTTCAAAACAAAGAGTAAGATGTTATGAACCTGCTGCCCAAATTTGGTGACGATCCAACGGTGCAATCTCCGGGAATCGGCAATTTCCTGTGACTGCGCAGTGCAGTTGCGGGAATGAAAAAAAGATGAGTGTATAAACTTGTTTCTGTTCCTTTTTTTTTTACGTTGCTGCGCTGCGTAGGTTATATCAAGCAGATTTTTTTTTATTCTTTTTATTAAAGAGAATGGGCCTTTGGCCCTTATTTAGTCCAAGCCCACCGTAATTGGGCCGGACTCAACAAACTCCCCCTCCGGATCAAGTGGTGGGCTCCAACAAGCCCGCTCTTCGCCGACATACTTCAAGCTTCTCTTTCGGCAAAGTCTTCGTCATCATGTCTGCACCATTCTCACTCGTGTGCACTTTTGCTAAGTACAATTATTTTGATTCGAGAACGTTTCGAATCCAGTGATACCTCACTTCAATGTGTTTGGACCTCGAGTGAAATGACGAGTTCTTAGAGAGGTGGATAGCGCTTTGGCTATCACTGAACACAACATACTTCTCCTGGTGTAAGCCCAATTCCTCTAGGAATTTCTTCATCCACAAAGCCTCTTAGCAACCTTCTGTAATCGCAATGTACTCGGCTTCTGTGGTAGATAACGCAACGCACTTTTGCAGCTTAGAATGCCACGACACGACTCCCCCTGCAAAAGTCATCAGAAATCCTAAAATGGACTTTCTGGAATCAACATCACCTGCCATATCTGAATCGGTATATCCAACCAGCATAGGATCACCACCACCGAAGCATAAACATGCTCTTGAGGTACCTCTAAGATATCTCAATATCCACTTGACGGCTTCCCAATGTTCTCTTCCCGGATTGGAGAGAAAACGACTGACTACTCCAACAGCATGAGCAATATCGGGCTTGGTGCACACCATGGCATACATTAAACTGCCAACTGCAGACGCATAAGGAACTCGACTCATGTCTGCCTTGTCTTCTTCACTTGTAGGGCATTGCTCCGAATTGAGCTTGAAGTGACCTGCAAGTGAAGAGGTCACCACCCTTGCCTTGCTCATGTTAAACTTCTCAAGTACCTTCTCAATGTAGTCTTCCTAGGACAACCATAGCTTCCCATTCTTTCTATCACGAGAGATCTTCATACCGAGTATCTTTTTCGCCGCTCCTAAGTCTTTCATCGCAAAAGACTTGCTTAAGTCTCTCTTCAACTGAGCAATCTTGCTAGTATCATGGCCTATGACCAACATATCATCAACGTACAAGAGGAGAATAATAAAATCATCATCGAAATACCTCTTGACGAACACACAATGGTCTGACGATGTTCGGCTGTACCCGTGACTCACCATGAAGGAGTCGAATTTCTTGTACCACAGCCTCGGAGCTTGTTTAAAACCATACAAGCTCTTCTTCAATCTGCATACAAGATGCTCTTTGCCTTGAACTTGGAATCCCTCGGGCTGCTCCATATAAATTTATTCTTCTAAGTCGCCGTGAAGAAACGCAGTTTTCACATCAAGTTGCTCGATCTCCAAGTTCAACCGTGCCGCTAAACCAAGAGCAACTCGAATCGAGGACATCTTCACCACCGGTGAGAATATCTCTTCAAAGTCGATTCCCTTTTTCTGACCGTACCCCTTCACAACCAATCGTGCCTTGAATCGTGGCTGCGAGCTAGCATTTTCGATCTTCAATCTATAGACCCATCTGTTTTTGAGCGCTTTCTTGCCTTTAGGTAACTTCACCAAGTCATAAGTGTGGTTCTCGTGAAGAGACTCCATCTCTTCTTCCATGGCTTTCAACCACTGCTTCTTTTCATCGACTGAGGTCGCCTCTTGGTAGGTTTCTGGCTCTCCGGCATCGGTGATCATCACATACTCATTTGAGGAGTATCTATTAGACTGACGCCGCTCTCGACTGGATCTCCTCAAAATAGGTTCTTCTGGTGGTTCTTGAACCCCTTCTTCAACTTCATCAGTTGGCTCAACATCATCAACTGTGGGGACATCACCATTTGTAGGACCAACATCAATATCTGGCGTCGCTCCCCCTTGATCAGGATACACAGTAGGTATAGGGACTGGATCTAAATCAACCAGATCATCGTTGTACTTCTCTGTCATCTCGGCTTTATCGATGTCTTTTATACTCTGGTCTTTTACCAACACCGCATCTCGACTTCTTACAGGCTTTTTCTGCACTGGGTCATAGAACCTGTATCCAAACTCATCAAGGCCATAACCGACGAACACACATGGCCTTGTTTTTATGTCGAGCTTCGACCTCTC